CAATGTGCCTCTCCATTTGTCAGTAACGGAAATATATATATATACTTTTATAATATATATGTATACTTATATTTTTCGTTACAACCATTTCTATATTTATGTTTTTTCGGTATATCCCCACAATAAGATGCTATATTCTTTTCAATCGGATATTACGAGAATACTATCATATTTCCAACTGTTATGTAAAAACAGTCGACAATTTCAATTTATCCAATGTTCAATTCATTGAGAGTTCGCTCTTTTTAAAAATGTAAGAAGTAGAAAGAGAAAACAATTCATAAGATTGTAACTGTTCTTTAGAAAACAAAATCAAAGAAATACTGAGTGTACTCATGCGTTATGCATTATAATTGCTATTCAAGTGATCTTTCTTTTATAGATGTAAATTCTCATTTCGAAAAAGTAAACTAGAAAAGTTTGAGAAAAGGAAGGAAAAAATTACATTTCATGATTTAAATCAATTATAAATTTAAAAAAAATTAATTAAAAAAACTGATGGAGCAAAAGTCTCTTAGTAAACATCGAATTTAAAGTTGAAAATATCTGCATGAGAAAGAGCACACTGAGTTATGTGTCTGATGAAAAAACCTTGCTTGTGTGTCCATATAAACTATGAGTTTATAAGAGTGAAAATATCAATATTTATAATAATATAACTCAATCTCAGGGTCATATTTCGCATTTATCGAGGGAAAACGATTTAAATATATGTAAGACATTCTTAGAAATTCTCATAGTAAAAAGAATTCTCTATCGAACGAAAATAATTTCAACACATCTCAATCAGATATTTGTGAATTTTTAAGTCAAAAACTTATTTTAAGGCCTTCATTTAATGAGGTCTATCATAATAAATACAAAAAAAAATTATACATTTGAATTTTTCCGATTATTTTCATGTTTATAAGGCTTTTCTTAAACCGATTGTTTACCGTCGGTTTTTTGAGTAAAAGATCTTTTTAATCAGCTTAAGCAAAAAAGACATCCCACTTCATTTCTTTCTTCCTTGACGTAATCAATATCAGAATTGGACCAGATACATCGCCTCTCAATACGATAAATATTTGTGTATATTTAGCGGTTCCCGTTGATCAGAATATGTTATCTTACATTAATAGTCGTTGTTCTAGTGGAGAAACTTATCTAGATTTAAACTGTAAGTATATTTTGAATTCTAGCAAAAGTAATTAAGTATTTTGATCTTTTAGATGATTTAAGTCGAAAGATTGTTTCAAAAGTACGAGAGTATCCATACAAGTTAGTGTAGTTCACTCTATTACGATTAATGTCTAATTATAATTGCAGGTCTATGGGACAATGGACTCCATTTACTATTCTTATTTTATTAATATTTTCCATGTTTCCACTAGTATTATTCGATCGAAGTCAGTCAAAAAAAGTATGTAATCTTGTAATAGCATCATTTTCAACAGCAAATGATAAAACAATAGTGATTCGATTATTGAGATCTTTCTTTGAAAAGAAGATAGAAAATCCACATGTGAATTTTGAACATGTCAATGCATCGGGAAACTTGAAGTCCACTGCACGTTGTTTAACTTATTCGCTCGGGAAGAAATTATTTACAACATATATAATAATCAACCTTTTTCATACTACTATTCTCATAGCCGGATTCATTTTTGGTATGGTCAATTTAAGTCTGAGAATGAATTCTGCATCCATTGAAAGTAAAATATTTCCTCATCGTGTCTTATGTTTACTAAATATTGGTTCTCTGGGTCAAGAAAATATTGATATATATCAATGTACAGTGTCATATCAATATACGATCCTTCATGTATTATTGTATCTCCTGTTTTATATGGTCCTGATGATATTCTTAAATATGATATATTTGAGTATATCTATATATATTTATCTAAATAAATCTTCACGAAGAAGAGAATGGAATCGTTATTTCGATTCTCATATTTCTTGTCAATTTGACGTTACACAGATAGAACATTTTATCGATTACATGAATGTTAATGGTTATTATATTTTCATTATTTTACAAAAAAATCTAACCATTGAAGAATTTCAAGAATTTTTTGAATTGTTTTTCGAAATGACATTCAATACAATACATGAGCAAATGGACAATTGACATGATTCGATGTATTTATATTGTTTTAATATTTTAATGATGACCTTTCTCTTGAAAGAAAAAACAATGAAATTTTATTGTCAAAATTAATTGTACTTGAAAATCATTAAAAATCATAATTATTCAAATATAGATTGATTGAAAAATCTATCTGCTTTATTTTAGAATGAAATAATCACACAGTTAGAGATGTAAGCCGATGAATTTATCGGTAGCAGTGGTGGCTCACTCGATTGGCTTACATCTCTACACATAACTATCTAAAAACTTACGGCAAATCTAATAAAGTATAAAATGCTCAGAGCAATCAGCTTCACGAACATCTATATCACGGTCTTTACTAGGCGTCGACCACCTCACGAGGAAAGGCTTAGAACTGACCAACCGCATTTAAATTTTCAGTGATACTAGTTTGTGGAGCGTGTTGAACTATTAACTAACATAATAATCATTCCTGTCAATAGCAACATTTAAGAGTAAATCTTTAATCTACAATTTTCCGTGTATATGAGGATGTGCGAGTCAAAGATCAACTAGGTGGATGATGGTTAATCTTTGAGTTTTGACTTTGGCGCATTTACATAAACATTCACTGTGGAATGTCACCTTTCATATAGAATCGTTATGTAAGTGAACCATCAAAATTCAAAGATTAACGATTATTCACCTAGTTGATCTTTGACTCGCACATCCTTATATACGGAAAATTGTAGATTAAAGATTTACTCTTAAACGTTTCTATTGACATGAATGATTATTATGTTAGTTAATAGTTCAACATGCTCTACAAATTAGCATCAGTAAAGCTTTAAAAGCGGATGAACAGTTCTGAGTTTCCTCTTCTCAGCAGCAGACAGAAATATTCGAAGTTTTTCCAATATTTTAACCATCAGATTGAATAAATTTGAATAATTTTTAATCAAAATAATCAGCACGATGAACTCTACAAATTTTTACATATGGAAGAGTTTTCTGTTTTTTTGTAGTTGGCTACAGCACGTGAAAGTTCCATGAGAAATATGGTTCACGAGTAGTTTATCGTTCATATATATATACGTCGCACATAGAGGAAGAGAAAAGAAGAAAATCGGGAAAGACTGTTTCTGCAGATAATACTCTTTGAAGAACAAATGTAATAGAAAAAGAACGCGAGAACGATGCGATCGCTTACATTTTCCACAATATAAACATGAAAAGAAATTAATATTGATTGATAAGTACAGATCTATATTGCCTCAGATGGGACTGCAATTTTTTTTCTTTCCTTTCAGTCAGACCTCTAGAAACATTAGACCAAGAAATGAAGAATTTCTTTGTTATCTTTTCATTTGGTAATATCATATAACATTTATCATTGGTAATGACATGCATAGGTGAAGGATATTCGTTTTTGGTATTCCTGTTTGTTATTATTTCCTTATATTCATCATATACAAATATATATGTATGCATACCATCATAAACGTTTCATTTGTACGAAAAATAAACTAGATATTAATGTCAAAAATGAGAAATTTAGTTCGTCTTTTGGTAAGTAATACTTCATTAAATGACTGAATATTTTTACTGAAGTGTTTCGAAGTATGTTTCGTAATGGTCCAAATAAACTTGAAATAATATTTTATTTTTAATTTGCATAACTATTTTGCCATCCGATACTCATGAGAAAAATTAATAAAGAAATACACGCTTGTGTACAAATAAAAAGCAGCTAATTGTTAGAAATGCATTCCTCCTATACTCATAAATTGAAAAGAGTAGATAAGCATACTTTGAGGAAGTTCATATAAATTTCCTAGTCAGTTGTAATCTTTTTCTAAAAATGTGTCACTTTTGAGAAAATAAGAATAGAAACTTTGATTACTGCATTGCGATACCACGTATGATGCTAAATAGAATTTTTCACCTCCTATAATTGAGAAATCTTTTTTATAAAAGGTTCTCATAAAGATGTATATGTCAGAGCTGAAACTTGAATTCAATCATTGATTTGTTGAAAGTTCAATTATTCAATTCATATATTCACACATTCAATAAGTCGATGTTTTATAAGTCAAAAACTTCATCGACACCCTGAAATTATTGACAGGATGCATCACACAAACCAAAAAAATCACATTTCATATATATGAGCTTTTCTATTTTCTCTATCACACAGTTGAATATATCTATTTATATCAAGCATTGAACTAGTTTCCATTAAACTACGTCCAATTCTCCATAATGAAATTACTTTCGAGAGTGAGGCGGCAGCGACAAAAAGCGTGAAAACACAAATCCACCTGTAATCAACGCACAGCACATCATGATCACTGAAGGTACTTAGGAAAAACGAATACTCTTGTCAATAAACATTCAGCATATAGCTCTTGTTGAGGGTGTTACGAAAGAGGAAATACTGTCGTGAATATAAATACAGCCCGAATCTGTTAATGAAGTGCTCTCTATGTATAGTTAGTTTTTTTACTATGAAAACATTTCACGTTGATTTAATAGCAGCTTTATTGTGTGTGGCTGGCAGCCTACGTGAATATGCTCGGAAGTATTTGTTAGACGCTATATTTTTTGGAGAAGTCCATTACTGTCTTATGAAAAGAAAGTACGTTGATGAGTTTCCTGATGGATAGAAAGGAATTGCAATGTTAGATGAATTCATAATTAGAAACGGAAGTAACTATTGTTAATATGCGAAAAATTGGATATTTCAATACCTGAATTTAATAATTGAATAGTAGAAAAGAAGTTCAACAATTGAATTCGACTTTCAGGCTTGATACTACCGGTTTTTTTAACCTTATGTCGACAAAGGCTCGTAAGATATTTTATTTACAATCGGATGTGAAAGAACTTTTATTTTCTCTGATTATTATAGTACATCATGACGTTTATGTGGATGTTTCTATTGGCAAAAGTAAATAGCGCTGTTTTAATGTCATCATCAGATCCATCGAGTCAGTTACAAGAAGAAACAATCACCGGAAATATATTTTTTGCAAAAAAAAGAAACAAAGTTTTACATTTGAATGTAGGCGGTGAACTAATATATGCTACACGAGAGACTCTGACGTATATACCCAATACAATACTTGCCTCAATCGTTAAACATGATAATATAAATCAATCAAATTCGATTGAACGCGACAATGATGGAAGAATCTTTCTTGATTTTACACCGATTTTATTTAAACATGCATTGGAACAAATACGTCGATGGAAAAATCGAGCTAATCGATCAGCTGATCAAGAAATAAAACCACCTTCATGGAATGTTAAAAAGGAATTCGATGAAATGCTTAGAGCACTTGGACTAGGCAAATATCGTCAAAGTAAGAATTATCACTCTGACTTTTGAAATATATGTCACATAAAACGGTACAGATTTTCTAGAATTAATCTATGATTCAGAGGAACTTTTAATAGCACGAACATAAAATAAATGTACTTTTTCAAAGAAGATCAACTACAGTCATAGTGTCGTGCTAATTAAGTTTTCACTCCTAAACTACAAGAAACGAAAAGAGTGAAATACTTAGGTCTGACCAAAAGTTCTGCAATTTAAAAAAAAAAGTTAAAGAAAAAGAGAAAGTTCGAGTTTTATTTTATTAAATGTTCAAAATAGTCCCCATGATTATTTATACAAAGTTCC